GTATCGCCGGGCCTCCTGGAAGGGCTCTGGCTTTGGTGCCTTGGGTGCCAGTTCCCTTGTGAGGCTGTCACTCTCACACTCTTTAGCCACAGCCCCCGCCACACACCAGGGAGAACAGTGGCCCGTTTGCAGGTCACTTATACCTTAGCCAGAGTTCCCACCTACCCGGGAGACAATGGCCTGTGTGCAGGTCACTTATACATTAGCCAGAGTTCCCATCTACCCGGGAAACAATGGCCTGTTTGCGGGTCACACACACAACAAGACAACAATAAGGTATCTTTTACTTTCAAACCACCTATTACCATTTTAGGTGTTACTGGCCAGTCCCGGTGCTATTGGATATCCCTCAATCCAGCTGTGCTGTCCAACCCCAGATGTTCTTGGGAATTTTATCCCTCAATCCAGCTATGTGATACAACGCAGATGCTCTTGGGCATTTCTAATTTCTGGCTGTGTTGTCCAACCCTGGATGCTCTTCGGCAAAAAAATTTTTATCCCTCCATCTAGTTGTGCTGTCCAATCCGAATACTTGCAAAAAGCCAATCATAAAATACACATTTTTCACAGCCTGGTTCATTCTGATGCTTTCTTCTGTGAGAAGAATAAGCAGTCCTTTGATCTTCAGTGGAGTTGTGCTGGCATCATACCCAGTATTATTTTTTTGAAAAAGTGAAATAAAACAAGTCTCAGCAGGATTTTCCCAGACAGGTTCCCCATTTAAAGGAAGGAAAAGTCCACCGTGCACTAATTCTATGTTTTGTACCACTGTTGTCAGTAGCTTCTCCAGCAAGTGGGCCATGAGGTTTAGTCAGGGTCATAGGCACAGTTCCAGTTTGTGGTAATTTTACCATAACAGGTTGTCCTGGTTGTAGTGCTGTCAGATGTCCCCCTTTAATGAAAAGTGGAGCACTTTATTTGGGTTTTCCAATGAATGCTTGGCCCACAGCACAGGGCTCCCTGTAGATTCATACTGATTATTTAGTTACTGAGGTATTCTGGGAACTCCAGCATCCCATCCACTCATTTGTGGTTTAAGGCACTTTCTCAATAGGCCATTAGGTCTTTCTAAGATTCCTTTTGACTGGGGATAATATGGGGTTTGAAATACCCATTGAATTCCTTCCTGTTTGGCCCATTGCTGTACCTCCTTATAGGAGAAATGTGAGCCATTATCACTTTAGATGGTATCAGGAGTAGGTAGACTTGAGAACCAAGATGACAGCCCTATCTGACCATTGGCCTTTTGGCATTTAGCTGCCATGAGTAGGCCTGAGACTACTTCCACACCTGTGAGGATGTATCAGTATCCTGCAGAGGGTCTGAGTGGCCCGATGTAGTCCGTTTTTCATGTAGACCATAAAGCTTTGCCTTTACTGATGTGTAGGGGTGGTGCTTCAGCAGGGTGATCTAACTGTAATTTTAATCTACACTGAGGGCATTCTGTAAGAATAGTTTCATAGGTTTTCCTGTTATGGGGCTGTCCTGGTTTATAAGATGGGTGTCTGTTAGGGAAGGCAGAAAAACTTCCCTTGGAATGGAGAATGTAAACCACCTCCCTCCGAATTATGCGAATTTTGAAATTAAGGGGTTCTTAGGCAAAGATATGAGAATAGGAATAACAGTTCTTTACTAGTATGTATAATAAAGCAAACAAACAACAACTACGGCATTAACAATAAACAGAACCCGAAACCCAGTAATAGCCTTTTTGTTTCACAATGGCATGCGGCAGTCTTCTGGTATGAGGCAAGCCCTTGGCTCCCGCATGTGGATTTGAAAAATGCTTTCGAAATATTTCTTTCAAACACTATAACATCTATTCTTATCATATTCTATATAAGCACGAATTACCTAAATCACATATTGCAGTGGCTTGTAGTATTTTTGCTAAGCATTGATCCTCACTGTCATAATTAGGCTTAAATTCAGATATGTAAAGTTATGTGGAACTAATGCTAGGATGCCTTTTTCAGCTACTCCTCAAGCTGCTTTGACTGCCAGATTGTTTCCCAACATAACAATAGTTTGTCCAGATTGATGTGCTTTGCAATGCATCACTGCCACCTCCTTTGGTTTTTGAATTTCTTCCAAAAGTTGTAAAATTTCTTCCTTGTGTTTAATAGATGATCCTTGAGCTGATAGCAGTCCCTTTTCCTTCCATATAGCTCCATGGGCATGAATCACACCAAATGCATATCTAGAATCAGTCCAAATATTCACTCTTTTGTCTGCTGCCAAATTCAATGCTTGTTTTAGTGCTATTATCTCTGCTTTTTGGGCTGGTGTATTAATTGGTAAAGATCAAGCTTCTAATAGATAGCAGTCACCACTGCGTATCCTGCCATCCATCTTCCTTCTTTTATGAAAATGCTGCCATCTGTAACTAATTCTTAATCAGGATTCTCTATTGGTTTATCCCACAAATCAGTTCTGCTGGAATATACCTGTTCGATAGTTTGGAGACAATCGTGTCAGGGCTCCCTCATCCACTGCCTTTGGATCAAGAAACATGGCTGGATTAGTGGCTGCTGTTGTCTTCAATTCCACGCCATCCTGTTCCAAAAGCACAACTTGGTATTTGAGCATCCTGCTGGGGGATAACAAATGCCCCCCATTTTGCTCTAATATAGATCTCACCATGTGAGGGACAAAAAGAGTTATATGCTGTCCAGTCATGAGCTTCCTAGCCTCTTTGATCAGTAGAACAATTGCAGCAATCACTCACAAGCATCCTGGCTCATCCTTTGCTCATGTTGCCCAGCTGTTTAGAGAAATAGGCCACAGGACTCCTCCAGGTTCCCAGCTTTTGTGTCAGGACCCCTGGGGCTAAATGTTGTCTTTCATGTACAAACAGTTCAAAGGGCTTGGTTAAATCAGGAAACCCTAATGCAGGTGCTGTCATTAATGCCTTTTTCAGTTCTCAGAAGGCAGTTTGGGACTCAAGAGTCCACACTAATTGCCCACCCTTTGGCTCTTTGAGAGGTTCATAGACAGGCTTCACTAAAAGTCCATAGTTTAATATCCGCAACCAGCACCACCCAACCACTCCTAGAAAGCCTCGTAATTCTCAGATGTTCCTAGGTTCTGGAGTTTGGCAGATTGCTTCTTTTCTGTCAAGGCCCAGAATTCTCTGTCTTTGAGTGATCCCCAAGCCCAAATAGCTCACAGTTGCCTTTCCTATTTGAGCTTTTCTTTTAATTACTGTGTAACCATTCTGTCACAAAAAGTTCAACCAGACTTATGGTCATTTGTAGGCATTGGTTTTGGATCTCTGCTGTCAGTAGAATGTCATCCACATACTGTAAAACTTCCTCAGTGTTATTTTCTTTCATTGTTCTATTTTTTTTACTAGTTGATTTCCAAATATTGTTGGACTACTCTTAAATCCCTGTGGTAGGATGGTCCAGGTTAACTGGACTTTGCATCCAGAGGTGGGACTTTCCCATTCAAAAGCAAATATTGCTTGACTTTTTTCCTCCAAGGGTATGCAGAAAAAGGCATCCTTAAGATCAATCACATTTATATTCCTCTTTTAGTGCTGTCAAGAGTGTGTACGGATTAGCTACTACTGGATTAATACCAGATACTTTTTATAAATGGCCCTTAAATCTTGCACTAACCTACATTCCCCATTTTGCTTTTTAACTGATAATATTGATGTGTTATATTCTGATTCACAGTCCTTCAAAAACCCATATTCTAAAAATTTTTCTATAAGTTTCTCCAACCCCTTCCTCACTTCCCATTTAATGGAGATTTTCCTTGGCCCTCCTTTTCATTATAAAGTATTTATAAAACCACTTTTTATTATCTTTCACAACAGTGGCCAGATTGAGTTCTAGCTGAACTTTTGCCTTTCTAATTTTCTTTCTATATGACCATCAGTTACTACTGATAATTGTAGCTATTTATGCTTCCACTATAGCGTCTTCTTTTTCAAAAGGAGTGCTATCACCATACAATAGGGTTTTAAAAATTAATTTAATTTTTAATTTTTCTTATTTTTTACTTCTAGAATAAAAAAGTCATTTTCCAGGGAAAAATTAATTTCTCCTTATCTTTTTAGAAAAGCATTTCTCTTTTTTGAACAGGCAATAAAATGGGAGCTGGTGTTAGTGTTAGAAAGAGTAATGTTGAGAAAATATATTTTGAATTCCTGGTTTCTAAATTAGAAAGCTTAAAAATTGCTGATAAACATGAAACAGGTTCAGATTACAGCAGGATAAAGATTTATTATACATTTGTGTACTCACAGAATTGACCTTTGTGATACAGCTTAATATCTAAACACTAAAAGCCATCATTTGTTTTATCAGCAGAATAATTGAAGCTAAAACAGTTGAAATTCCACTTGTATCAAGTTGATCATTAGGAATTGCTGTCTGGCTTTTGTGCTGTCAGAAAACATAACCTGTTCTGATATGAAGAGATAGCAGAATGATGGTTGGTCTATGTAATTTGAGAGAAAGGTTGAATAAACTTTCTACTGTGGAAACAATTTAGAAGTGACATGCTGCAAGGGGGAGGTCAGAATGAGCATTGATATCCAGCTGAGCTGCCAACTGGCACTGAGCCAGACACACTAAGCTTTGCCATTTGAAGCATATGTGGTTTTAAGAAAAAATTGCCCTCCTTTCATGCATGATTTGGACTGACAAACTTTAGTTTTTAACAAAAACAAGGATATAATTTGGTGTTGTACTTGTAACTACAAGTACATATTTATAGAGATTTTTTTAAAGCTTTTGTTTGAAACAGATATGTTAATGTTTATATGCATGCATGTGTGTGTGTAAATTGATCCCTTGGGATGGGGATGAACGGCAGATTTTTTTTTTTTTTGAGTACCTGAATATTTCCAGTTTTTAAAAATTAAATCTAGTTAAGAAAAATATATGCTTGAATGGGATAACATTTCTTCCTGTCATACATACTCCCCCTTAAAAAGAAGGGAGACAGGTTCCAAAAGCAGATACAAATATAAAATAGTTTTTAGTTCATTTGTTGAGTTTTTGATTTACCTTTTTAGCTGGGCAGGATTTTTCCAGTTCATTGATATACTTTTGGGGGGCTCTTTTTCAGGGTATGACATTATATTATGTTTTTCTTCTTAGCAATTGTAGTTGGCTTTTGTATTTGCCTTGTTTAAGAATCCAAACATCAAACTGTTTTTCCCTCTATTGAGGAAAGTGCAAATTATTTTATTCTTTTGACCTTAACAAAACCTTTATCTTCCCAATGACTGCCTCTCACCATACTAGAGGTAAGTTTTGTAACTGTTTTCAAGGTAATTGACAAATAACTAGCTGTCTTCAAGACAAATGGTGTCACTTTGTGTTGCTGTTTTTTTGGGGGTCCCGGGGAGTCCCTGGGGGGCCCCTTAAGCTGTATGTTCGCTGGTAACAGCCAGCAGGCAAGGAGACTCCACACAGCTTCTGAGGGTGCTGATTAGATGAGTATTTATTGAGGGTCCCACCCCCGGGAGCAGCATGGTTATTGAGAGAGAAGGGGGGAAGGGGGAAGGAGGGGGAGAGAGGGACAACCTAGGGAGAAAAGGGCCAAGAAAGAGTTCGGTCTCCCCCTCACAGCTTAACAGGGAGATTCAAAGTGGGCACAGAATAAGACTTGGACCAATGGGATTACAGATACATGACACTTCAGGGGAGGATCACAGGCTTGGAATAAACCATACATTTTCGAGGGGTGAGACAGAGCATACCATTTAACTAAAATGTAACACCACAACTTTGTAGATAAATTAAGTAGGGGGTATAAAGTTTTTATTTATAAACCCTCTTCTGTGGTTGCCTTGTGTATATCTGAAAACACTGTTCTCATAGATGTGGGCTAAATATCTATTAGGGTACTGTATTATAATTAAAAGTGCAACTGTATCCATGTATTTGCAATTTTTTCACCTTTGAATAAGATCAGTATCCCCTCATTGCTAGCCATTCACTTTTAGTGTCATGAAAGTCACGTCTCTTGTAACAAGAAAAACAGTACATATATTTTCCCAGTCTGAGATGCATCCTGAGCTGCAGACTCATGGTTGCCTAGTTTATGCATGTCACTCATTGTATTTTGTTAGAATAATTTGAAATAAAAATTGTCCATTTATTCAACTTACCTTTCCCATCTTCTGCTCTGGGAAACTAAAGCTTCCTCATTTTCAAAAGCCTAACAACTTCCCCACTTCTGATTTATTTGCTTTAGTCTTTTGTCAAATTGCAGCTGTCTTCTTCGATGTGCCTATAAAACCATCATTTACTTGCCTTTTCTTTGTGTCCTTATCTGTCCTAACTGGTGGAATGCTGTGAGCTGCAGAAGCTTTCCCTGGAAAGTGTTTTAGGATGGTGCTTGGTGGGAATGCTTATATACAATCAGATGAGCTCACTAAAGTTTTGAGGCCTGCTTCCTTTGGAGAATATTAAACTTTCATTAGCATCTTGATAGCTAGGTATGTATCCTTAAGTGATTGAAATCTCACTAGATATTCATGTCTCTTTCTAAGAGCTAACCTTCATTTATGCACTATTTTTTTCTATCTTGTGTGTGTACAGCATCAAATACTTCTTTCAAGTCAGATATTTGAGATATTTAAGCCATAGAGTTACCATTCTATAGCTCAATGTAACAGCAGGCAGACCATCTGTAAATGTTATCTTGAACCTGAAACTCTCCATGCTTAACACAAGAGAACATTACTTCAGAGACTTTTGTAAGGGTTAGACTAGATGTCAGCTATTACTTTTTGCATTTTAAGACACTTGTCGAGATAGGCACTTTTGTTTTCACAGTCCTGCTTTAGTTCCAACATTTGCTTTTATTTTGCCTTCATATGAAAGCTGGAGAAAAGGCTTCCTTCTCAATTCAGATTTTCTTGTGTTTTACGAGAAAAACAACAAAGGAAATCTCAATGCTTTGACTGTTGTACTTCAGATGATGATGATGATTATTATCTTTGCAGCATGATGTCTTGGTTTGAAAGACAGGTGTCTGCTAAGGAAGGCAGCAGACTCCCTTGGAATGAAAAATATGACCCTCTGAATTATTACAATTTTGAAATTAAGGGCCCTTCAGGCAAAGTTATGAGAAAAGGAATAACAGTTCTTTACTATTGTGTCTATGTATAACGAGAGTAACAACAACAAAGAACAGAAACCCCAAAAAACAGTCTCTTCCTGCTATTTAAGCACTTTCCCCTTTGGTGTAGTTACAATCGCAGCCGGCAGGGGCGCTGGTGGCTCCCCAGCTGGGCAGAGCAGGTGCGATGACTCCCCCACGGCTGCAGGGGGTGCTGTGACGTGAGTTTAGGCCGTCTCCCTCTCACGTGGACAATGGCGGGCACAGCCGGCAGAACGGGATGGAGAAGGGGCTTCTTTTATGAACCCCCAGGGCAGCCGATTTCGGTGCCCCCTCTGGATAGCAAAAGGAGCTGCAGCAGGAACCCCAGGGGAAGCAAGCTGGAACAGCAGGTTCTCCCAGCAGGCAGAGGGTGAAAAGCTACAGTGTAGCACAAACCCGGAGCAATGGCAGAGTTATGGTGGGGGTTGGGCAGTAGCAGTCTGGCTCCTGAACGCAGCAAAAGGCTCCTCAGGCTTTTCTCACCGGCGCTGGTCAGTCCTCCAGATCCAGAATGCGCAGAGGGCAGGGGCAAGGTACACTCTATTGCTTACTGCAACAGATTAAAGCATACAAAGGAAGATCAAACCAGAAGTAATTTGGAATGATTGACACAGAAACCAGGAATGCAAAAGGGGTAAGGGTGCAAAGGATATGGATGCAAAGATAATAGATTCACACACACAGAGGCAACACCATGTCTACACCTATTCCTACGTGTGTAAATGTACCTATCAAAAACTCCACTCAAGTTCAGTGAAATACATCAATTCTCTTTGCATTTCCCAACAGGCAAGGGTTGCACCTGGAGGAGCATGGAGATGGGGGATATCAGCCTAGGCCTCATCGTCAGTGATGGTCCTTTGAGTATCACAAACTTGAGGGTTTGTGAGCTCTGAGAGGCCCCACTTAGAGGGAGGTGCAGACTCAGCCCACTGCAGTCCAGGAGAGCTCAAAGGGCCTCACTCAGGACTGCTGTTTATAGAGTCACCGAATCACAGAATCATTTCAGTTAGAAAAGACCTCTGAGATCATTGAGTCCAACCTTTGACTGATCACCATGTTGTCATGATTGGCTTTAGTCATCAGTAAGTTTCCCTCCTGGACATAACCCAAGCTGGTAACTACTGGCATTTTTTCCCAGAAAGTCCAGTAACAATGGTATTGTTCCTCTCAGGGTACAATTCAGGTAAATGGTTTACCAAGGCTACAAAGGATAGCTGCTTATCCTTTGTTTCCCACCTTTTTTGGGCAGACATTGTTTCTGATTTTTCCCACCTTTACCATAAAAGAGCTCCTGGTACAACCAGGGAGTGCCTCATGGCCCGACTGGTACTGTCAAGGGATGCTTCACTGCTCAGCTGGAGCTTCTGAGATTGTAGACCAGGCCCAAGGATGAGGGGAAAGGAGGGGGTGATGGGTATATAACACCACAACCCTTCACTAGCTTCAGAGCCCTACTTTGGACATGCTCCAGGACCTCAATGTCTTTCCTGTAGTGAGGACCCCAAGTCTGAACACAGGACGTTCTCCTGAGTTTCCTGCCTCTTCTTCCAAAGTTAGTAAACTCTTTTTTTCCCGAGTTCCAGCAAAATGTCACTGTTCAGTCAGGCTGGTCATCTTCCCCTCTGGCTCGTCATTTGGTACATGGGGACAGCCTGCTCCTGCACCTTGAAAATTTCTTTCTTGAAGTGTCCAGCCTTCCTGGACCCCTTTTCCCTTCAGGACTGCCTCAAGCGATTCTCTCAACCAGTATCCTAAACAGGCTAAAGTCTGCCCTCCAGGAGTCCAAAGGAACAGTTCTGCTGGCACCCTCCTTTACTCCTCTAAGAATTCTCATTAATTTTGTGACTGCTGTGCCCAAGACAGCCTCCAACCATCACATCACCCACCAGCCCTCTGTTTATAATCAACAAATCCCTCAGGGCACCTCCTCTGGTTGATTCATTCACCAGCTGTGTCAGGAAGTTCTCTTCCACACATTCCAGCATCCTCCTGGACTGTTTTATCTTTGATGTGTTGTATTTCCAGCAGATGTCTGGTAAGTTGAAATTCCCCATGAGAACAAGGGCCAGCAATCGTGAGACTTCTCCCAGCTGCTTATAGAAACATCTTTAATGCCCCAGGGAGGCAGCGGACATCCTTAAGGGAGTGGGTCTGAGCTGCATATGGTACCTTCTGTTCCCTTCAGAAGGGAGTCTACTATCAGAATAACCTGTATTTTTTTTTCTTTTTGTAATGCTGTTGTCGCAGATGTTATTTATCTTTCTTGCAGTAAAACCACTAGTAGATTCAAGGGAAGGAGAGAGGGTGTGTGGGGAGAAGGGACTTGTCTATTAACTCTGCTCATTTTGGTGAAGCATAAAACAAGCTAATAGATATCATTAAGAAGAAAACATATTTAAAATTTCCAAGTTGACTTTGTAGACGAAAGTGGGACCTGCTTACTGAAACTTTTTGTGTGGCTTCCATCTCATTTACTATCTCTGCCAATTCTTCAATAACTGGGAGTTTTTCAGATTGTGTTTTATAGTCTTCCCTATGAGAAAAGAATACATTGTTGCAAGAGCAAGGTGAAGTTTTGGGGGGTAAGCTGGCCTCTGTTCAATCAAATTAAAAATACTGATCTGATCATCATATCTCTGTGTGTTTCAGTACTAAGCATGAGTATTTGTCTCTTATCAAGCTGTAAATACAACACTCTCAAAGACAAATGTTAGGCAACTGTAATGGACAAAATACAGAAAGTTTGTGTTAAAGAAAATCTTTGCTTTCTTCTGTTAGAAGTGAAGGTTAAAGATACTGATCTGAAATAAGGATTGGTTTTACTTGAGCCTGGATTATTCATATATATTTAATTATTAGCATGAGAGTCTTGAAAGTTTGGGGATCAGTCTTAGTAGCTGAGAAGGGTAAAGAAACTTAAATGCCATTTAAGACTGCTTTGAGATTTGCCTTTTGATATTCTGCCCTCAAGAGCTTCATTTGGAGGCTAAACAACTATGTTATGATGAATGGGATATTGATGGATTCTATTCCCAGGTTATTTTACTGGCAGGGAAAATGTTGCAGACTCGGTCTTAATTACAATAAATTAAAGTGATTACTTTGAGCACATCTTGTTTTAAAAAAAATATT